GCTTTTCTGATCCAATCCTGCAATCCTGTTTTGGACAAATCAAATGGTAAAAAGCTAAAAACACCCTTTGATAGTTTTATAATCTGAATGAGACTGTAGCTGTGCTTTGTGATCATAATTATAGTTTGTATTTAAATTGTTTCTGTTTGTATATTGTAAGGTGCTGAAAGATCATTTATTTATTGCATTTTTTGCCGCCCCATAGACTGGGGCCTCTCTAGGAAGTTTACAAAAGACAAAAGCATAACATAACTGTAGTACAATAAAACAATAAACTCTAAAACCACATAAAATCCAGCTAATATAAGGTGCAAAACAGGACGATAATGTAAACAATAAAAACAACAATAAACCAGCAGTGAAAAGCAAATGAAAGCATGACGCTAAAAGCAAGTATTTTGTATTAAAAAGCAGTGCTTTTTTGTCATAGAATGTGTGGGAATGGAGTTCCAGAACCTTTTTTCGAAAGATTTTCCAAGTTTTAAAAGTAACTTGAAAATTTGATGTTTGGTCCATGTGGATTTGAATCACCCTGTTGAGTGTAGCAGGTCGGCGGAAAAATCATTAAAATGGTGCATGCGGGCTGCTTGTGTGTCGAATCCGATGCATGTGTACTTCGCGCTGGTTGTGATGGTGCTGCTCGGCTTGTGGCGCTGCTCAGCTTGTGATTGGTTGTGTGGTCGCACACTGAGTGCTTACTGCAGGCGGCCACCATTATATTTTGTTACACAACTGATGTGTGTGGCTGTGTGTACAGTGATTGCCTACATGGAAAAGGTAAATATTTTCATGAGTTCTGGCACTTTTTTTCTTACAAAAAAAGCACTATTAAAAAGTATTAAATATTAAATTAAAAAGTCTTTACCTAGCAGCAAAAACAGAATGAGGGTGCCAGTTGTACCCCTTTAGGAAGAGAGTTCCAAAGAGGAGGTGTGATAACAGAAAAGGGCCCCTTTTTGCCAATTTCCCCCTCACTTCATTTGGAGAAAGTTCACGAAGGAGGGCCTTCATTGAAGATCTAAGTGACATGGTAGGTATATATGGAGGCAGGTGTTAGAGATCCCTGACCCAAGCCATTTAGGGCTTTGTATGTTAACGTAAACATTTTGAATTGAGCCCTGGCAAGAACAAGCAGCCAGTGCAGTTGATGGAAGACTGGTGTGATGTGCTCTCTACAACTGGTCCTTGTTGTTCGCTGTGCTGCTCTGTTTTGCATCAACTGAAGTTCCTGGACCATCTTCAAAGGCTGCCCTGTGTAGAGCGCATTACAGTAATCCAGGCGGGAGGTTACCAGTGCATGGATAACTGTGTCAAGGCTCTGCTTGTCCAAGTAGGAACGTAGCTGACAAATCAGCCTAAGCCGATAGAAAGTGCTCCTGGCCACCAAGGCCACCAGCAAAACAGGTGACAACTGGGCATCCAAGTTATGAACCTTATCTTTTAATGGAAGCACAACCCCATCCAGGATAGGTTGAAAATTTCCCATTTGAATGGACGGACTGCCCACCAACAGTACCTCTGTCTGGTCTAAATTGTGCTTCAGCTTATTGGCACTCATCTGGTCCATTACCAAGCCAAGGCACTGGTGCCTCACTTGGATTGGAAGAAAGCGAGAGGTAGAGCCGGGTGTCATGAGTGTACTGGTGACACTTCACCCCAAACCTCTGGATGGCCTCTCCCAGCAGTGTCATGTAGATGTTCAATAGGATGGGGGAGAGAATATAGAACTGCAGGACTCCATGACACAAGTGCCATGGTGCAGTCCCCCAGCTCCACCAACCGGAGGTGGTCAGCCAGGTTGGAGCAGGGCCACCACAAAGTGGTGCCACCAACTCCCAGTCCAGAGTATTCTGGGCACTAAGCTGTGTTCGGTCAGATAAATTCTGAGTTTTCCTCTGCCTGAGCTCTAGCTGTTTCCCCTCTTGCTTCATCCCTCACAGCTCTGGCATATCCCAAGGAGCCAGGCAGGCTCAGTGAGAGAGAGGCGGGTGCCTGGGAGAGACTGTGTCAACTGGCTGGATCACCTCCGCATTCCACAGGGTGACCTGGGCTTTGACAGGCATGCCAACCATGCCAGCTGGAAAATCCCCCAGAGCCCTCTGGAAACCTTCTGGATCCATTAGACTTAATGTGTCCCCCACTTTACAGAGGGGAAAAGGGGCTGAAACTCCAAGCCACAGGAGGAAGTGATCTGACCCCGACAAAGGGGTTGATGACAACTTCTCCTGCTACCAGATTGGGAAAGGTTTCCTGCCCAGTTGGGAAAACCAGGTGTGACTTTTTATATGCGTTGGGCCAGTGACATGCTGCGACAGCCCCATGGATATGGGGCTGAGCCACCTGGACATGGTAGCCTCAGTGTGGAGACTGAGGCCCTCCAGGACCATCATCTCGGGGGTCCTCAACACCAAGTCTGAGACAACCTCCTTCTGCTCAAGCAGGGCGCCTACTGGGCAGTGGGGTGGGCAGCACTCCAGCAGCATCCCCAGTCTGTCTCGATCTCTCAGTGCAAGGTACAAACACGCACTCAAGAGGGGCACTCGAATGGGCAGGGAGCCCTGTGAGGGGGAAAGGACAATGGACAATGGCCACCCTCCCTCCCCAGCATACCAGGTGATGTTGGTGCAATACGGAGTACCCGGGGGGGGGCATAATTGGGAGAGGGCAACCCCCCTTCCTCTTCTACCAGGCCTCGGTAATGCAAGTCAAGTTGGCACCTTCATCCACAATTGAATCATGGGTCAGAGAGCTCTTATTACATACCAACCTTTTGTTTAGCAACAGCACCACAAGGCCCAGGGGAAAACCAGCACAGTTCCCAGGAAACTGTCGGACTGGGAGAGAGATCAGAACAGGGGACAGTGATAAGGCATTTATTCCCTCTTCTTTGCTGGCCTATCAATTCTTCAATGCTATATCTCTCCCTACCAGTGACCACTGTAATAGGGGCTCCCATATCTGTTCCCAATAAGCCAAGTAAAGCAATAAAATAGCCCTAAGGCTGAAACAAAGACCAGCTGCTGGGAAAAGGGGAGGGAAAAAGAGAAAGAAAAGGGGGAGGGGAAGCGAGGGGGGGGACCTATTCTAGTAGTCTACACTTGCCTTTTCTTTCATAATCCACATCTTACTGTGAATAAACGCACTTACTTTTTGACATGTCAAGAAGTAAGCACATTTCTATTTATTCACTTGGTTGGATGAACATAGAGTGGTGTGGGGAGTTGGATCTTGCCCACAAGCCCTGCCCTCTGACCTTGGTGTATTCAGTGGAAGAGCGCAGCTAAGCAGAGCCCAGCATCCTTCCCACATGATTGGGAGCCCTGTGGTGCACTGATGTGGCTATGTGATTTTCCTCACAGCTCCATCTCGATGTGTCCACAGATGCACAGAGACTGTATGAATAGGGTTGTGCCTGTTGTTACTGTGAATTTTGTTAACTGTCCAGATTGCCTTCAGGTTATTGGGTGTTATAAAAATGAATAAAAAAATAAAAGTATAATCATTGTCACTTAATTTTATATTTTGTCTGGTGCCTCAAATATGTCTCTTGTAGTGGTTAATTATATGAGTTTCTTGGGATGAACTAAACCCCATGGAATCATTGTCTTTGGCCTTAGCGGCCCTTGCTTTGAGCCAGGGTAGCTCAGGCTCAGCAAAGGCAAGTGGCAGCTAGGACGTCGGCATTTTCAGTGCCAGGATTTAGCTCTGGAGTACAAGGAATGAAAGTGCCTCCAGCAGGTGTGACGGGCATTGCTGACCATACTGGTGGCTAAAGAAGAGTCTGCACAGATGTGGGGTTAAGAAGAGCAGCTTTGTGTTCAGAGAATGTGCCTGGGTATTTGTTTATGGAATTATATACTGGCTAATGAAGTGAAGTATAACTATTCAGGAATATGGGTGGGAATGCCAGACAAGGGTCACGACCCCTTACCAGGATTGCTTTAGTCTTGGTTCATTTTCAAAGGTCCCACTGAATGGGGCCTTTATTGGATTGTCACCAGCCCTTATTTTTCATTAATGAAATGCCAGAGTTAAAAGTGATGAATCTAAACCATTCCATGACACCCTAACAAGTGCTTGATTTAGGAAATAGAAGCACAGATACCTGATGAGCAGTCATCTCATGCGGTATCTGAGCAGTTCTGGCACAGTGATGGATAGAAGTCCACTTTCATGAATACTTTTCATTATATTTGGGGCTAGTTAGCCATGGTAGCATTTTCTCACATCATTAGATACTAATTCTGCCAAGCAGAGCATATTTTCTGTATCTTCAGCCACAGAATAAGTTTTGGTGTGCTAGTGCATTTGGCTTTGACCGAAATCTATATAGACCAATTATTCTGGAGCTGGTCATTAAAAAGTATTGTTGCCTAAAGTACCAGCTTTGGAAATGAAACCAGAGGTTCATCTGGACCATTTCTGAATCACTGGCACATTGGGAGATGGGCAGGGGGCAGGGAGGGAGGCATGGTCTGCAATGGTGATACAATCGAAAGGTTCTCTCTTTATTCCCCAGGAATGGGGATTTCAAAATGGCCGCTCTGGCACACATATGGAACACTCGATCTTCACAGAATATAAATAGGCAAGATGTTGAAGTGGAAGAAGGAACATCTCTCTCTATTAGCTGCATTTGAGACCAGGCAAATCCACTTATGCCTTTTCCTTGTTTAGCCACTTGCAGTCATCTGAATGCAGCCTTTACCCAGGAAGCCTGTGGGACCAAACAGGCATGGATCTGCTTCAGGGTGGGACAACTTGCAAAATGCATTCCATCAGCTATGTCCACCATGTTCTTCATGAAGTTTGCTTTTGCATTTCCAGGCAGGTAGCAGCAATGGTTGGTTTATGAGCCCCTACCCTGATAAATGGCTGTTGGACTATCTTCTGCTTGGTGAGAAATGTAGAAGGCCAAGCTTCCTTGAGACTTTGTAGAATTGTGCTTTTTATTTGCAACCCCTGCCCTCCCCCCACAGTTTATTATAAAATCCCAAGACTTTCTAAATCACGATTTAACTTTATTTAACAGTTCTTTTGTATAGAGTTCCTAAAAACAAATACCACAATTAAAAGAAATTCCTGTCCCCCAAATCCCCAAAACAAAAAAAATATAAAACACACATTAGAGGATTGCCAATAACCTTCTACACCATATTTTAAAAATTCTTTAATTCAGTTGTTGGTCCTAGCAGTGCATCTGTATTAAGAAATACTGGATTTTTCTGGTTTGATTGATCACATATGCATAAAAGAGAATTAGTATAAAGTCTAATCCAGGAAGAATAAAACCAGAATGAAAATTTGGACTGTTTGTGTTCCAGGATTGACTACTCTTTTTAATACAAGGCTTTCCATCTAAAGTTATGCTCAGTTATGGAAATGATAAAAGCAAGTACATAACAGTTGGCAGTGATTTGTGTTTCATTATTTTCTAGTCTTTACACTGCCTAAAATAGGGATGATGCCAGAACTCAAAAGAAACTGTAATTTGCTCAAACAAATAAGATCTGTGGTGGGTACATATTACATAATGTTGACAATATAGAGTATATCCCAGACATATTTAGCATTCAGTCCACAAACAGTTTAGCACCATATTGATAAAAGTCGTGCAGCCAAACTCTTTCTTCAAGGTTTGCTTAGAACATAAAGCAGAAATAGCACAGTGCAAGGTAGTCTATACCCTTAGCTTTTATGAGGGGTATGATGGCAATGGCTGACCCCTGATTTTCTTAGAGGTAAACGTTGATGTTTTGCTGTGATTTAGGTTCCTATTGTTGTTGCAATGCTAGGTTTTTCAAGGGCTGAAAAGGCAAAAAATAAAAAATAAATTGTTAGGCTATCAAAAAGAAAAATGACAAAGTTGGGATCAAAATACTGTCTAGGAGTCTAAAGGGAAAACATATAAAGCTTCTGGTTTTCAAGAGAGTACCTACCGATGTTAGATTCCTAACCCCAAATGTCTTATTTTTTTAAAGTGCCCTATTATGAAATTCTGTGATTTATTATATCACCCTGGGCTAGCCAGAAAGTCATGAACTAGTATTTTCAGGTTGATGGAATACTGGGGATCCTAATAAACAAATATGCCACACAAGACTGAAACTAGTCCACTTCTCTAGCCTGTCAAGGCTGGCTTCATAGACTGCACAGTATTGCAGTAATCAGCAAGTAATGATTCCATTCTCTCACCTTTAATCTATTTGAACAATAATAGCCTATCTGTGTTCCTTTTCCTTTCTAGTTATTTCTACAGCTATGCCATTACAATTATATAAAATTAAAGTGTCTTAGACTAAATCATGGACAGCGGAGCCAATTTATTTCAGCAAGCAAATTCACAAAAATGCTATCCATATGTGTTATTTTTGATTCCTTGCAAAAGATTCAAATCTTTTAACACACCATGCAAACACCCTAACTAGAAGTATTCTAGACTACCTTTTACATTTGTCAAGGTGGCTTTCATAATCCCTGCCTCCATGAGTCAACATGGCAGTACCACAGTGGTGAGAAAGTGGTCCAAGTGTCCATAGACTGTTCTGGCATCTACAGTTCCATTTTTCAATGTCATTTCAAATAAAGGCATGCAAGAAAATGCAAGGACAAATCTTACCCGACATGCAGAGATTTTCACATTCTTTTTGTGTGTTAAATCTGTTTTCATTTCCATCACAACCCCCATACCAGAATCTAGTACAGCTTCTGCGTGCTGGGTCAAAGGACCATTTCAGGGTAAAATTCCTGCAGGGTCCTACTTTTTTCTCCAACATACAGATATCTTTCACTGTAAATCAACAGACAAACAATAAATGCACCAGGCTTCCTGTGAATCTGCACCACTTCGCATGCTTTCAGCAGAACAAGAAACAGCTTTCCCTCTGATGAGCATGTTTAAAGGATAGTCACAAGTACATGAAGTTTTATTGGTCACTGTGGATAGCATGCAGGATTAAAGGACAACAGAAATCATTTGTACGTGACAACACAGAAATCACCCCACTGTCTTCAGGAAGGCCTCTCTGCACAGGAAGAGATAACAGAACTGGAGGGATGCCTGGAAGATGCCTAATTTAGGAGGATCCTGCACCACTGACCTAACTTTAAATACAGAAATGATTATGAGGAGTCCCTCTTATTATAAGAGAGTGAGGGAGGAATAATTCTGAACTACATAGAAATTCTGTTCTTCAGTCACTTGCAGATTAGTAAATCCATACACATAGAAGTTCCAGTGGATGGATTATAAAATATGTTGGAACTTTGCAGTAATTATTTGTGAATTAATAGGTATCTCAACCCCAGAGAGGCAATTATTGATCTAAAGTACCACCTTTCCTAAGTCTGCAATGATTTCTGCCTTGCTGCCATTCAGCTGCATTTTTCATTTGCCAGTCTTGCAGATGATGTTTGAGCACTGTATGGCAGTGGAGTATTTAACAGATGCATATGCCTGCTGGGGAGTCTCTCCATTCCTTCCAGAATAATGAAACGCAGGTGAAAACAGGCTGAAATGTGATGGGCTTCAGAGAGACAAGAGATGTAAGGAGTACTTCGGAAGTGATGGTTGAAGTGTTGCTGAGGGGAGGTTGCTACGTGCAAAATAATCAAATACATTTGAGATCCTGACATGCTTGTCTCTAGAAGCATTTGCCCTGCATCAAGTGTTGCCCTGCTTTTGGATATTCCACCGTGACTGTTCATGTCGATGCTTGTGTTCTGGGTTCATTCAGAGCAGCTTTCTGTCTCACGGACGTTGATGCCCCGTATGGATCTGATGGGCTGCATTGAACAAAATGGCCTGAGTAGTTTCTTAGTATTTGAAGGATGTTTTTTTTTCCTTTCACGCAGCCAAAGAAATGTTTCAGTGGCAACCAGAGATTCACTGCAACTGGTTCTTGTTCTGCTCCTACTTGAGCAGCATACAAAAATCTACATGAAACCCACTTTTCTGATAGCTCCTTAGACAGTCGAAAATTGAGACACCAGAAAAACAAATGCCTTTTTGTTTTGCAACTGTTTTTTGATCCCTCAGGTATTGTATATTCATTTCATTTTAGTGGGGGAGCGAATGCACACATATCAAAGAAGGTGTAGAGAGATAAGTTCCTCTACTGAGCAAATAAAAAAGCCCTTCAAAGCAGGATAGCTCCTACCTGTATCAAAGGACCATTTTGTACTATACACCTCTGAGGCATTGGAGTGAATCTCTTGAAATCAGGATGGACAGTTAAATGTGTTATCATGCTCAAATAGACATCTAATTACATTCTAGCATGCTTCCACCCATGTTTTAAAGCATTTAGAGAACTAAAGATGTTTTCTTTATTGGAGAATTATTCAAAATTAGATTTAGTTAGCCATTTTATAAAATGAAAATTTCTCCCACTATAATTTCCACCCTTCCGGGTCACAATTCCCAATGGAGTTAGAGTAAATAAAGGGCACTGGAAGTATTTGTGCCAGTTGCATGCAGTGCCATCATAACCTCGATAGAATACCAGCACACAAGTGTAATAATGTATTACATTATTACACTTAAAATGGTGTTTAAAATGGTTTAAAATGGTGCTGGCACTTCAGTTGACCTGTCCCAACATAGTTTTTATATGTGCTGAAGCAGCAAGGATAAAGGATAAACATGCTGTTGTCCATGGTGTAGCCTTTGATTGTACTCCAAACTGAGAGCTAATTTGCACAGGCATCTGAAAGATGGAATGATCTTCACAGAAGAACTGTACTAATTTCAGGTCTGGTTTGAGAATCACTTGTTTGAAGTGCTTCAGTGTGAAGATGGCCTGCATGCCAATAATTTACCACCATTCAGTGAAAAGAATGAAGAAGCATTTTCTTTGCTGTGACATATTTTTGGTTAGGAATGGAAAATCTTTCCGTTTCAAGTTTCCCTCAGTTTATTTCCCCAGTCTTGTTTGTTTTGTCCTATTTCCAAATCTGTTTGTGAATATAGTTTTATGAATCTGTATAAAAGTTTGTATGCATTTTGAACACACTTCTAATATATACACTTCATACACAATTTTGTCCAATATACACATCTTACACACTTTTCCAAAGTAGAATGCATTTTTGTACATTATCACCTATATATGTTTCCATATTTCCCTCTAAACTCTATGTTCCCTCTGTGAACATTTTGATTGGCATATTTAGAGAAGCCCAAATACTGATGGTTAGCTGTGATTTGGTTCTCAAATTGTTTTGAAAGTGTGAATTAGGTAAATTTTTATGAAGTAAATTAACCTGGAAATAGAACAAATTCCTCTCACATCTGTAACTTTGATTTAGAGATTATTTCAAACAAACAGCTCCCCTGTGAAATATGGTCTAGCAGGTTTAGATATAAATAATTTCTAAATCCCAGTCTTACTGATTTTGTTGGTTTTGAGTTTAGATAACAGTATTATATGGATTGAGGTACATGGACCACTTACATTGATGTACCTTTTTGAAAAAGAAGTTACAAATCCTCCCCACTCCCCTTTTTAAAATTTTCTTATTAAGAGTGATTATTGTATATAGACATGTTATAGTCTTTTCTTTCATGGCTCTCCCCACCTTTTTATTGATGTATTTGCAATAAAGAATAATTGAGATGCTTTGCCTGCACCATAAGGACTCCAGTAGCATCTGCAGGCCAGTGAGAAGTTGCACTGGATACTAAAGCAGCAAGCATTAGAGCTGACAACCTAGTTAAATGAGCCCATGGGAATGGATGAGGCCACAGAGGTAAGGTCCACTATCCTGTTTAAATAGGACTTATGAACACATCAGAGGCATCTCTGACTTACACTGTCCAAGGAAAGGAGGAGGCAAAGAAAATAATACTTCAATCAATAAATCAGTTCATAAGCAGCATCTTGCCTCCTGATATTTTCGCTATGGGTAAAATGTAATACAAAGAATCAAGAGCTGTGTGTATTTATTTTATACTCACTTCATAAAGTCAGATATTCAGACTTGAAGTAGTATTTTAACACAAATTGGAAATGCCCCTTTAGGTAGCAAGTTAGTTTATAGTTTATAAACTATATAAACTAATATATATATTGTTTATATAGTTAATATTAATATATTAATTATCATTAATATATTATTATTATTAAAATAATAGTAATAATATTTTATAATATTCATATATATACAATATATGAACCTGTATAGTTTAAAGCAGCCACACCAGAAAAGCAACGAAGTGCAGTTGCTACATTCTTAATATCATTGTATGCTTCTCAGACTTGCTACATGTAAGCAACCAACGTGAAAGTGGAAAAATGCACTTTTAATTCTTTCACTTATTTTTAAATTGAACTTCAACAGTTCTGTGCTTTGGCTTTCATTTTGTACCTGAGGCATTTGCAGTTCCTGGGGGGAGGGGCAGTCTCATGTCAATCAATGTGACAAGCACCTATCAGTGAGGAGCTCATTGTCATGACAGACATGCCAAGTACAGAGTCCACATGAATTTTCTATTGCATATACAGGTCAGTACATTCAGAATGTTGATATGTAGATTTTAAAAAATCTACAAGACAGCTGCTGTGGATAGACCATGCTTTTGCTTCAGAATGTTTAAAAGGGGCACATGCATATGGAATGCATATCTTACAAAGTATGCCTGCATTTTTTAGTGTAGTATGTATAACTCAATAGAAAAGGCAAAGTGAGAACTTGTCTTTAAAAATTCAGAACTGTATAATGGTGATGAAATTATATAATGAAACAAATACCACCTAAACCCAATTACATCTGAAAAATGAATGTCTAAACTAGAAAACCCGAGAGCCTCAAATAAACTTGAATTTTAAAAAATGAAAGCTGAAATAGCTCCCTTCTGATCTATAAACATATTCTCAAGAAGAAAAAAAATCATATATGTTATGATACCCCCCTGCTATAATTTTCTTTCCAGAGGAAAATATCAGGGTGATATCCTCATACAATGAAATGATTGGCAGCGTTCTAGAATTGCATAAATACACAATTCTTTTTCCAAGCAGGATTTTCTATGCATCAGAACAGAGGCATTTCTGCTTTCATATACAGCTACTTTAACATTCTTTGGCAAGGAATCCAAATACTTGCTGTTGCTCTCCATGCCTGACAAAGTTCAGAAGGTTTGCTGGAAATAGCTCTACCATACTCATCAAGCCTTATTAGCTGAACAATTCCATCTAGATCTTCGATTTCATATCTTCAGAAGGTAGCCAAGTTCTGGCTCCAGCATGGCCCATGTGTTCTAGACCATTGCTGCATAGTTGTGCCTGTAACTGATTGACCATTAGTAAGAGGTCCTAATTAGAGATGCAAGTTATCTATTGGTTTCCATAAACTCTGCAATGTCTCAGGTATCCTTACTTTTAGTTACTGTGGACATTGCCATTTATGAAGTACTGGATATCTTGTTCATTCAGCTGCCAATGCCCCCCCGACACACACCAAAAAAGAAGAAGAAGAAGAAGGCAGATGGAATTAGACAGATGATGGCTTCAGTGGAATTTTTCACAGCAACAGATTTACCTTATGCATGTTGGACACAAAATCAGATGGATTATTTTCCCTAATCCTAATAAACATACAAAATGCAAGAGGTCTAATTCTGATAATGAAACACTCTTATCCAGGATGCCTTGCGTGTCCAGGCAAGATAGATGGACAGCACATTCCTATACATGAACATACTCTGAAGTAAGTCTAACTGTAATTGAACTGGATTGCAGTAAAGAATGAAGAAAGGCTCCTGCATGCTCTACTCCCATCCAACTCAGTGCAAAAGTTCCAGATAAAAACAATGCATTTAAATCCACCTGTTGATTTGTTTTGCATGTTCCCTGTCTCCTTCTCCATGTCCTGATGAGCTTTGTCTCTTGAGCAAATAGCACTATTTTGTCATCTTCAAAATTCTGGAATATTTAATGATTTTAAAGTGCTTATTCTGCTGAAGCCATGCCTTAAATTGGGTATTTCAGTTTACTTTAAGCAAGAAAAGTGCCAGTAGACCTGAGAGTGTTTTACATAGGATTCCCTTGCCCTCCTTCCACAATGGACTTCCACAGATGCTTGAACACTTTTCCCTGCAAAGATGAACCAAAAAATAAAGGATTCCCCTTATCCCATTGCCTCAGTGCTTCAGAGCGCAACTTTACCTTGTGTGGTTCTCCTTGCAGATATTCATTTGATGCTAGTATAAGTAAACGTGGCCCTAAGAGTTAATGGTTTGGCAGTGCCTTCAGCTGCATCAGAGCAGCGGCTCTCCTAGGCGAGTGCCATCCGTTCTGAGGCACCCTGAGGCTCCGGGCCTGCTACCTGCATTTCCTGAGTTGCTGGGCCTTGCCGCGGGGGCCTTTTGCACACAGAGCGGGCACGTGGCCCCTGGGCTAATCCACTCACGATTCCACCTTTGCTCCCATCCTTTCTTTAAAGCTATTTCTGTTGTGTACATATACCTTCCTTGATTCAGTGCACTTCTGGTTCCTGGTCTTTCTCTCATACCTGCTCTTGCTATGTTTTTTGCTCTGCTTTCCAATTTCCTTCTGGATAATTTCCTCCTGGGTACTTTCTTCTTGGGCACTTTCTGTCCTGTAAATGTTGAGACCGGTTATTTCACTACGGCTGTATATCCTAAGAGTGAGTATACGCAACCTGGAGTCTAGATGGTAACAGAACTTAATCCAACACTTCATTGCTTTAGGCTGCGGCCTTAAAATGCAAATATGTGTGTTAAGCCTAATTTTTCTTTACCGGAATTAAAATGGTCCTGTTGCCTTGCCTAAATAAAAAACCTTAGTGAGAAGCTAGTCAGCATTAGCATTCTCAGCAATCAGTGGAGCAAATAATTGTTCATAATGTAAAGTCCATTATTAAATATTTGGTTTACTTTGAGTTTTAAATTCAATATTCTGCGTCCCATTGTGCTACAACTGCCTGTGCACAGACAAACTTTTCCACATGAGACTGTTAACTGGCTGCCAATTCACTGTATCTATTTTCAGTTTCATCACAGAATTTAGATCCTAGAATTGAGATCCATACAAAATGTTTCCTTTCCTGTTTTTCTGCTACTTAACCTCTAGGTGGCATAGCAGAGTAGCACAAATACACAGTGAAGAAGCATTTTCTTTTGCTTTTCTAATCAAATGCCACATCTTCCCTGCTGTATGAAGGCTTGTTAGGCATAGACCATTTATTTTCTTATAGGAATAAACATATGTCTCTATCTACCGTTCACTTGGTAGAGAAACAAAAGGGGTGGACTCACAAACGCCCCATAGTAAATTCATCCCCTTCCCCTTAGAACCTTTTACATTGAGAATCAACTGCTCTTTTCTACATAGGACCCTCCTGGGCTCTGCTTCTTGGATAGGCTAGAATATGGTGGCCTGTGGGGAGTGGATTGTACATGCATGTGGATGAGCTCTGTGGAAGCAGGGTTGTTATCCAAACTCCTGTGCCAGTGAACAAAACCCAGAGGTTTTGTTCCTGCTGCTTCACTTTTTCACTCTGTTGAATCACTTATTATCAGGTTTGTTGTGTGTCACAATAAGGACAGAACTCCAGCTTCTTCCCTTTACACAAACTAGACAACCAGCTCGCTGTTCTTGGTGAGACAAGGGGCACAGTCAATGAGAAACTCGGGTGGGGGGGAATGCTCTTCTGGCACAATTTAACCCTTTGGGTTTGTCCTAAAATAAGTTAAGGAGATGTGAGGTGATTATGTAAATGAACTGAACTGTGAAATACTCCTAATCCTCTAATACAATGCTATTATTATTATTATTATTATTATTATTATTATTATTATTATTATTATTAGAACATTTCTATGAACATTTCTAAACATTTAATTATGTATTGTATATCAAACACACAGAGCCCAAGATAACTGGCCCAAAAATTGTGCTGTTCACTATTTTTCCCATCCAATAAATTACTACATTTGAATGTATCCTTGTTGGAAAGAAAGTGCATTCAGCCCTTCAGCCGGATGAATAAACGACTTTGAAGCTTACTGGTGAGTTATGCAAATTAATGAACTTTGTTTAAACTCATGCTGCATCACCTGCCATATTATTAAATGATGCCCCTTAACTTTTGATTGAAGTGATGCCATGAAATGTGCTTTTAGAGGCCATGAATGAAGGAAAGTTGATTCAATATGTTTCACCTCCACACCTTGATCTTTTCCGTTCTCTCACAGTAGATTTAGAAGAGCTTTGCTCTGTTGCTCCCTCTTGCTGCTGCCTGATAATCAGCTGTTTGTTCTTTACCTTAGACATTCTCCTGACAATTAGAAGTTCTGAAAAATCTTACTGGACAAATGGACAATTAAGGCCCTAGCACATATTCTGAGATTTACAGTCCACCACAAAACTTCAAGAAAATGCCAGGATTCATATTCTGTGATGGGAGTAATTCAAGGCAGCCCTGACTGTGGCCTTTGTTCTTTATAACAGAGGCAGACAAGAGACAATCAGGGCATCTCTGATCTGCAGTGGAAAACTGAGATTGATGGTTGATAGGGCATGGCTGGAACTTGCTGGCTTGGCTGCAGCAAGAAATGCCTCACTACTGGCCACAGTTTTATTATTATTGCATAATACGGATGAAGAGTCCTTCTCTCAGGTCCTCACTGCAGGGATAAAGCAGGTTGGCGTTCTGGAGGTCCAATGCCATATCCTCTCTCCCCAGCCATCCCCTTCTCTACAGGGTCCTAGTTCCAGATGATCACTATGCATTTGGGCAGTTTTCAAATGTGTAAAAGAATGCCGGCCTAAAGGAACAGAACATTATCCACCATAGGTGCTGAGAATAGGCCAACAAGTACTGGGTAAGAATGACAAGATGTTAGATGCTTCTTCTTTCTAAAAATAAAAGAAACCCAGCAATGTGTAGGGCTGCAAACCTATACAAGTTTACCTGGGATTCAGTCCCATGGCATTCCAGGGTCCTTTCTTCCTGACAAAATGCATACAATTGTTTTGATAGGAGGAGGGAGAAGGTAAATTCCAGAGTGGACAGGAGTCTCTTCTGGATTCCTTAGATCTTGATATGTATCTCAGCTTGGTGTAAAGGAATCAAAACCAACAAAGATCCTCTGACTTAGCATGTTACAGGCGACTTCTTCAGATTTTCAAAACTCTGATGTTCCTAATCTGAAGCCTGTCTTTCTAGTCGTGTGCCTGGCAGTTTTCTGGGCTAAAGCATTTTTCCCAGGCAAAGGTGATTACTTGAACAAAAGTAGATAATAAAAGTAATGCTTATTGAAAATAAAAGTACTGCCTCGCTAAATAAAAAGGAAAAAGAAGGTAAAACACATAGGTGATTATATTAGTGACACTGAAGACAGTACAGTACGAGTAATGAAAGTTACTATCTCTACATGCTCATCAGAGAAACAGAAATGTGCTTATCATAAACTCTTGTTCTGTGGTGTGCCATGAGGGCAGGCTCAACACCAAGGGTAGAATTTCCCACTGGTAGGAAATCCAGACCAAGTTCTGACTCCCCTCCCAATCGGAACTTGAAAAGCCAACATGGAAATAAAAATCCAAAACAAGCTATGAAAGCATCAAACAGCAAACTTAGGTTTGGATGCTGTGGGAGAAGCAGACAAAGTCTTCCTTTGGAAATCCTACCCACACATGTCTAACAGTGATAGAAAGGCCAACATCCATCTAAGAATGTGGCTCTGGTCAAAATATTATTTTTAGGGAGACAATGCAAATGGGGAGAGCCTGCATTCTGGAGGCGCTGAAGAAGAATAAAAATCCCAGTACAGTTATTTTGGATGGACTTGACAGAAACACATGTGTGTCGGAGAACTACAACCTGTCTTAGAGTGGCTTGGGATAATGCTTCTCTTCCTATGGTTACGGTGTGCAGGAGAAGCTCTCTTCTGCATCTCACCAGCAGTTTTCATGTGGTCACCCTGTCATACAGACCTTCCAGTTAGTTACAATATTTTTGTGGGGAATCCTTCTGTTAAGATAAATATTTTTGGTAAGCTCTCCTTTAGGATTATGCAGACCCTCAACATCTTTGGTTCACCCTCCAGGCTGTTAACAGAAGCCTGTCTGGCTGCAGGGGAAACATTGGATTCTGATCTGAAAGCCAAATTATTTTCTAAATTGTCAACTTTAAACGGTTGGTGAAGATGCTCATGTCTACATTGATTATCCAGTGGGATTCCTAGAATCACATGTCCTATGATGGTTTAACCTTGGGTGTCCACCAAGCCAGGGAAGATCTGAGAGTGGTCGACAATCTTTTGTTGAAATTCCTATAGGAATTTCTAAAGTGGTCTTGAATGAAACCTCAGAGCAGTAGTTCTTGGTAGGAGACTAGCATTTCTAGGATCTGGCATCCCTAGTTGCTCCACAGATCCAAGATTCAACTGATCTTGTGTAGTAGGTAAAGCCCTGTCTGTGTGGTGGAAGTTATTTTGGGTTAATCAATGCTGATAAAATTTGCAGATGATACTAAAATGGGGGTGGTGGCCACAACTGAGGAGCAGGTACTCCTCAGATCTGGACAGATAATGGAAGTGGGCAGAAGACAACGGGATGGCATTCAATGTGGATAAGTGCAAGGTCTTGCACTTGGGGCATAGGAATGGGTGTCATAAGTACAGCTTATAGGACAAGAGGCTGGAGAGTAGCACTTGTGAAAAGGATCTCGGGGTGCTGGTCGACTGCAGGCTAAACATGAGTCAGCAGTGTGACGGGGTGGTCAAGAGGGCGAATGCCACCTTAGGATATAAGTGTGGCTTCTAGATTGAGAGAGGTATTACTGCTACTCTATATGACTCTGGTGTGCCCACAACTGCAGTATTGTGTTTAATTCTGGGCCCCTCATTACAAGAGGGATATAGCAAGGTTGGAATCGGTACAGCGAAGGGCCACAAGGATGGTGGCTGGTTTGCAGGGTAAGCCATATGAGGAGAGACTGAGGGAAAGTGGTCTTTTCAGCCTTGAGGAGACTCAGAGGGGACCTGTTAGTGACATACAGGTACGTGAGGGGGTGTCACGCAGAGGTGTGACACCTTTATTCCCCTGTGGTGTAGGGCAGGACGTGTTCCAGTGGAGCCAAGCTCAGGGAACCAAGGTTTAATCTGGATGCCAGGAAGTACTTCCTGACAGTTAGGATCCCTAGGGTATGGAATGGGCTTCCAGGGGAGGTGGCTGAAGTCCCCTTGGTGAGGGAATTGGCTGGACATATGCATGGTAGGTATTTCATGAGCAGAGCCAGCTGGAGCTGGGGGTCAGACTAGATGGGAGACCCCTTCTGACTCACTCTGTTTCAGTGTTTCTATGTTCTTCAAACATTTCCTCTTTGCTTCCTAGGTATGCTCTGGATCCACAAATGGAGCAACCAAAGGTTGTCAATCTGAAAGATATTATCCTGCATTGCATGCCAGCAGACACAAACATTCCTATATTCCAGGGTATACTTATACCTCCTATTCTTCTTCAGCATTCTAAAATAGATGGAATGGACTACTTAGTTGCCATAAAGTTGGGACACATGCTATTGCTCTGATGTTCAAAAGGTACCAGATTGTCAAAAACCTCTGGGCTTTTCCAGATCCATTAACCAGTTAGGATATAATGAGCCTGTCTGCCAGACATCTTTGTCTGGGAAACTGGGAATAGTACAAAGAAACAGGAATCTGTTAGTATCAAGCAGCAGCTGCTTTCATTGCTGAAGATATCCCCCAATCTGATTTGGGGGTGGGGCCATACTCATTCCATGTTTGCTGCTTTCTTCCTCTATTTCAGGCTGAGAACTAATTGGTAACTGAAGAAGATGTGACTCTCTTTGCTTCTGACTGGAGAGTACTCCCCACCTCCAGTTTTTGAAACTGTTATATATGGTTTACAGCTTAGTTGTAGGCAATGAAATGCAAACAGACTGGAAACTGCATTGTCTCTTCTTTGTTAAATCCTTCATTTCTATGAGAATCGCATGTCGGAAGTCTCCAAAAGTCTTTAATTCAAATGATGAGTTTCCACACCAAAGTTGTTAAGTCAGAGGATCTGATGTGCTAACATATTAAGTTTGCACCAAGTTTTTCTTTTTCAGTTCTGTTGAGCCACGTATTCCCCATCTTGTATCAATGCCTTTGGTTTCTTTTTCCTAGGTGGAGGCCTTGGCACTTGTCCTTATTGAATCTCATTCTGTTGCTTTCAGCCTAAGTGTATCAAAATCACACAGCATCTACATTTTGTCTTCTGGAGTGTTCGCTATTCTGCCCAGTTTTGTATCATCTGCAAATCTGATTATCTGTCCTTGTACTTCCTCATCTAAATCATTAACACAGATGTTGAAGAGCACTGGGCCCAGGACTGAACCCTGTGACAACCCACTAGTTACCTCAACCCAATTTGAGAAGGTGCCATTGATGAGCACTCTTTGTGTCCGATCTAGCAGCCAGTTTTGGATCCACCTAATAGTTTTTTTCTCTATCTAGTCCAGTTTTTGCTAATTTGCTTATCGGGATGTCATGTGGCACTATGTTGAAAGCTTTGCTAAAGTCTAGGTAGATTGTGTCCACAGTGTTCCCTCTGTCCATTTGGGAGGTTCCCCAGTTAAAAAATGAGATTAAATTAGTCTGACAGGATTTATTTTTGATCAATTCATGCTGGCTTCTATTAATCACTGCATTTTCTTCTAGATGTTTGTAGATGGTTTTTTGTTTTGTTTTTTAATAATTTGCTCTGGAATTTTTCCAGGGATTGATGTCAGTCTAACTGATGTCAGATGGAAAAAAGGTCCATCTTTTTCCCTGTTTTGAAGATAGGGACAACATTAGCCCTTCTCCAGTTGTCTGGCCCCTATTCCACATTTAGTACAGGATGGGAAAGGGATTCTTCAGAGACTGAAGAAAAGATAGAATAATATAAAACTATAGTAGTTGCAAAAAGAAACCAGCAGCATGAGGGCACTCTTACAGCCCTTATTTCCTGCCTGAGAGATGAGGTCCCACTGCAGTCATAGCCATGAACTGGCCCTGCCTACCAAACATGGTGAGCCTCTATCCTGGTTGTTGAGTCTGCCTTCTGAATATGGGGAAGAGTCCAGAGTGTAACACCATTTTGTACATTCTATAATATATTTACAGCAGCATTGCTTTTCTGGGTAGGACAGACTGCATGCCAATGGAGACAGACAGGGAAATATCAGACAATTCACAGCAAGGCAAAAGAGCGGCAAGAAAGCACATTGTATAGTTATATTTGGCCAGTGGCCACGGCAAAGCATCCAGGGGGCACATCCCATGGAACAACAAATGATCAAATGCACAATCCTCTCCGTTTCTGCTTTTACCTGACAAGTGGCTTTTCGCAAGGACAGGCAGCTGCATGACTGTCTCATCTGCTGTAGAGAAAAAGTGTGTGGAGTTTGTTTTTAAATTACTTTTTTCTATCTGCTTTGAAACTTTCTTTGACAATATTTGAAAGTGCAAAATGGGTTAACCCTGTATGGGTACTTACATGGCTTCAAGCATTTGTTAATGCAGTCAGCTTCTGTCTCAAATCTATTGGCGTTACCACCACACCCACCATACCAAACCTGGGTGCAGATCTTGTTTTTGTAGTCAAAGAACCACTTAACCTGATACTCCTTGCACTGTGTGCCCATGTCAAGGTCCAGCAAGCAAGGATCTGTCAAATTTGAATTTCAAAATGTGCAAATGTTAAATGATTCTGAAAAGGTTAAATGCAGCTAAAAGGCACAAAACAACCCCCCTCCCACCACCAAATAACAAGCAGCAGCAGCTTTCAGAAGCGCAAATGAAACAGAGCAGACCTGTACTAAATCACTTTTCTGATATCTACCTTAACAAGAGCAACTTAGGAAATTATAATCTAGCTATCATTTCTAATAAAATCACAAACATGCCAGGCAGCCAATACATGCATATTAATATTTTAATCTTTTTTGCATATAGTTTTGCATAGATTTTCTGTGAAGGTGCTTGGCTTATATATGCCTCTGCCAGTCAGTAGCCAAATCCAGTGCAGTGCAGCAGTCAGAGGCATAAAAATGCACAGTGGGGAAAAAGAAAGCATGGTGCAATTTCGAAATCTTAGAACCGAAGTGAAATTCAAGGGAAATGACAAAAAACATTTAAAAATGTGTTTGCCACTCCCAACACTCCCAATGACTAGAACATAAGTTCTGTTTTCACCATCGGTTAAGGAGGGTGTTTCCATACACAACCAAGAAGCTCCTCTTCCCATCCAGCCTTGCCAATCAGACTTTGCCCTGCTGAGCTTCTCCATTCAGGGGCAAGATTGACACAGATCTTGAGCTACGCTGGGCCTCTTGGAGAGGTGCATGGCTACAGCTTACAAGAAAGTTGATACTGAAGCAGCTACTTAGAGTGTCCACGCATCTTGCCTGTTGGATGGTGCCTTTGGGACATTGTGGAAAGAGGGTGTTGCAGCAGCAACATGACATCAGGTGAATGTGATCTAGAGGGAACTATTCCGTTCACAAGCCCACCTGGCTTGGAGACTGGAAACTTGCCAAATTAGCCCATGCTGAATCAGAGCATCCTAGTAGCAGTCTGACATGACCCCCAGCCTCATTGATTCCCCCAGATTATCAACTTGATATAGCCCAGGTTTTCTTGGGTGGGCGGTGAAGAGCTAAGAGAGGTTACTGCTTACAGGCTTTCCTTGTAGTCAGGCTGAGATTGCTTGAACAAGGGCAACAGCTGGGGTTAGGTTCTGGTTAGAGTTAGCCAATGCTGTGAAACCCATAAGCACTTAGAAAAATCGGTGAAGTAAAGAGCATTGTTAGGAACTAACAGCTATTTCAATGAACCTGGCCATCTTTTTTAATGTATTAAGTCACTGTAATCATTGCCTTTATTTTGACTAGTGCTTCCCCTCCCCCACACAACTGTTGGCCATGTTTAATTCGTGTTCCTTGGGAGAGGAACCTCTCCTTTGTTTATTACAAATGGCTATGTTGTAAGTTTGCGCACACAAATTTATGTGAACCTGCGTAATTGCTAGTGTGTGCGCACCTACCCTAGGCAGCTCATTTTAACTCCACTGTAGATATCTTTGTACACCTACATTGCTCTCTTCCCTCAGCTTAGGCAATACCATTTCTGTGCTTTGCTCTTACCCAGCACATAGCATCCAGGCTGTATTAAAGATTCACGCCTGGATCTTGGGCCCATGCCCAACTTTATCCACATTTTATCGCATTACTGCTTTTGACCTCTTGGCAGCAGTGTGCAATTTCTCAGTTGATTCAAAACCAGCCAAACTATACAGTGAAGTAATTCCCCAGCTACTGCAATGGGTGTGCTCTCAGTTCAGCCTGCATACTGCCCACCCATGCTGTAGAAGACATCCAACCAAGCTCATGCCATGTAATCCTAGAAGCAGTTTCATATCTGCCAATAAAACCAACACTGTTGGCCTTTCTCTCAGTATTGATATCTGTGGATGAATGTTGTCAATGTAGGATAGAAAGAAGAACTTCACCATTAAATCAAATTTATATTCCAACCAAAGCAGTAGTTATATTTTCATTAGAAATACAGAACTTGATAAAATTAAGCCTCACATGTGAAAGCACTGTTTCGCATATGAAAACTGTTTCTCTGTTTTCTATTTTATTATTGTTGAATAATTGTTCATATTCTCCTTTATTGCCTTTCAGACTTCTAACATATATTGGGGAAGTTCAAACATCACAACAACCCCCCTGTGAATAAGCTATGCCCAATTGGTTGTTTGTGAAATAGTACAGAGTGTGCCTAATCAGACAATTTAGTTTAGCATGAATTGTCATCCTGTTTTTTTCCTTGGTCCTCTTGCAGGTAGGGGGAAAGCAGAGTAGAACCCATCTTGTTTCTTCTGCCCTTGCTGACTGCAAATTCTATTGTATTTGCCATGGCTTCTCTCCTACCACTTTTTGGGGGAGTTAGATACTATGTTTTGCAAACTCACTGACAGTCCCTCCAAATACAGGAAGTGCACAAGTGGCACATTTGAGCTGCTGTCAAAAAAGGTATAGCACCTATTAATGATAATGATGAGAATGAGTGAACCTCAGTTTTGTGTGAATATCTTTGTCCTTCAAAAAGAAAAATTGTCTTTTCACAATTGGAGTTTTTGACAGAGATTTTGAAAGGTATTTGACAGCAATTCTCAGGAAAAGTGAAAAAGTATGAAGACACTGACAAGGGTCAGGTCTAATAAAAACAAAACAAAACCAACCCAACCCAACCCAACCTGGAGGATTTTCCTACAAAGAGGGTAATCTACTGGCCAAGGGACACTAACAGCTTGGCTTTGACAGCTCACTTTCTGATAGCTGTCTAGAGAGTGCAAATAAAAACTTAACTAAGTTCTGTGTAGCCCATTCTTTCATTAATAGTCTTGCATGGTTTCTCCTGCACTCTTGACAGGATATGCTTTCCAGGACATTGATGAGGGAAAGCTTTTGATTTCAGCCACTTGAAAGTGTCCAATTGTGTACTCTCCAAAGAGCAACACACGCCAAATAGTGAACCAGTGACAGTTGCTGTAAAGTGATACTTGGAGACCTGTTAGCAACATACAGGTATGTGAGGGGGTGCCACGCAGTGGTGGGTCATGACCTTTTTTCCCTGCAGTGGAGGGCAGAACATGTTCCAATGGAGCAAAGCTGAGGGAACCAGGGTTTAGGATAGATGCCAGGAAGTACTTCCTGATGGTTAGGACCCCAAGGGCATGGAATGGGCTTCCACAGAGGGTTGAAGCCCCATCGGTGAGGATGTTCAAGGATAGGCTGGACATGCACATGGCAGACATGTCATGAGTGGAGCCGGGGGGGGGGGTCAGTCTAGATGGCGCAGTAGGTCCCTTCTGACTCTCTCTGTTACTATGTCAAAGACCATGAAAGGCATTAACAATATCTGAAAATAAAATGTGGCAGAACACAACATGTGCAAAGCACACAGTTGAGACGTGGGAGACTGAGCCAATGACAGTCATTCTAAAGTGCTGTTTGGGCACTTGCTGGAGTGGCTGTCACTGGCAGCAGCCTTGGTATACTCAGTAGTGACACAGGCAAACTCAGCAAGAGCTACAAGAAGTTTTTGCTGCTCTTGCTGAGAAGCTCAGATGCTGCTTCCCTTGATCTGCAATGGGCTCAGTCACCATGGGTTGCCACAAACAAGACACCTTGCAGGAAGTGATCCAGGTTTGCATGGCACAGCAACCTGCTGTTGCTAGTAACCCACAATGGGTTATCATGTCATGCGTACCCTGTCACCTTGTGCCTGATGAAGAGCTACTGTAACTTCTAGGTACATATATTACGCATCCTGTGACTCTCTTACAAAGCAATGGCTAACAAGAAGGTAAAACATCCAGACAAGTACAAATCCCTTCCACAAATCACTTCAGTGCTGTGTAATACACAGGGCAATTATACACATAAATAAAGAATGAGAAAGACACAATACGGCAAAAGGATAGAGATTAGGAGTGGGACGACAAAAGGAGTCTGTGATCATACTTTGAAGCGCTGTACTTAAAAAGACAAAGCCCAAAGAGACATACAACCTTAATCCCATCTGTTAAAACTGTTGAATGTTGTACATGTAAAATCAACCATTTTCAAAAGAAAAAAAAAATATTTTCTTGCAGCCCAGCTCTCTTGCCTCCTCTGAAAATCTTAATATTTTTGATACTCTCTTCTTGAGTTCACCCTTAAAGCTTATGTTTAAGGAACTAGACAACAATGCTCAGGGAAGCTGAAGAAAGAAGAAGAAACAGCAGGTAACTGAAGTGGGTCAATTCCATACAGAAAGTCACAATCTTGTGCTTACAAGAGCTGAGCAGGTCTGTCAAGGACAAGACATTTTGGAGGGCTGTCCTTCACAGGGATGCCGTAAGGCAGAGATGACGGCACATAGAGGAGCAGCAGCAATAAGAAACCAGACACAGGGAACAGCATATTCAAAACAAGGCTGCTGGGCAGCTTATCTGAAGACAGTTGTCAGACAAAAAACTTCAGTTGTATACATGAATGGGAGAAAAGTGAGTGGATTTTTTTCAGGCACGCTTCTACATTCTATTCCTTCATAGCAGCTTGCAGCCTTCAGAAATTTTGAAGCCGTGAAAACTGACCCAGAAAATTAGGTACTTGTGGTGGGTTGGCGCAGGCAAGTATTACATAAAATGCAACAGGCAAGGAAAAAAAAAAAGGAATCTGGACAGTTCCAGGTATGACGTATAGGGCTTTGAAATTGAAACAAGAGTGTGGCAGATGTGGCCTATCATGAAAATCTCCAGTACATAATGGAAGTTTCATACAACTGGGCTGTCAATATAACTACTAATACCAGCTTTGAAAAAGAAATGGATTTCGCACCAATCATTTCTCAGTTTTGTGAAATAAATTTCATGGGCAGACAAGTGAGATGTGGCAGTTTATCATGTACAACATGTTTCAAGTCATAACTTCTCAATATTTCCATTCATTTGTGACGATTAAAACAAAAAGAGAAAACTACTGACATTAACACAACCTTCTCACCTATATAACAAATGGTAATAATCCACATGTTGTAAATTACTGAGCTGGTCCAAGTAGTTGGCCATTAATGGTTATTGACGCATGCCATTAATGCCTTGAGGCAAGATGTAAGGTGAACAGACAAGAGCAAGGTCCAACAGTGCAACATAAACTTATGCAATAAAGAATATTTAAATGAGCCATGGGGAAATTTTTTTCTCTAATATCTCTGAACATTTTGTTGTTGCTCTCTGGTGGCCATTGCGCCATGTGAAGGCTTAAGCATCGCCATCTGAAATGCGCCCATTTACTGCAAGAGTGGGTCTACTCTTCCTGGTGGAAAGCAATGCAATTGGGACTAATGAACCCTTTCTAGCTGCCATGGTTTGTATGGCTGTTGAGGAAATAAAGTCTGCTACCTTACTTTAAATTCCAAAGGAATCAGAGGTGAGCTTATTTACATCTTTCCCTCATTAAGAAAGGGAATTGCTCAATAAAATAGTTTGATCGACATCTGTTCTCTTACCAATGTGAAACCATATAATTTTCTTCAGGACTGACCTAACCGGTCCTTTGGATAGGTTTTCTCCACCTCCTCAGAAATCAACTAATTCATGTAGATGCTCAGGACTTTGAAAGAAACCTCTAATAAACCTCTATTAAAATACAAGAATAATGAAGAGACTGAAATATGCGCAATATGTTCAAAATCCATGGAGGATCTAATACCCAAAGATGCTGTGTGGCCGAGGACCTAGGGACTCTAATGCTCCAATTCACTGTATGTTGCCCTTCTAAAACATCATGACTGGGAACACTGAAGAAGGGCTTGGGGCCAAGTCCTCTTGGAAAGGCACCCGTCAACTGCTGGTATAATGGGAACTGTGGATATTGAACCTGTAGGTATTGGTTCCTGAGTGACTGCTGTGTGGATCTAGAGGATTCACCAGCTAGACTTGGTTCCTATCCTTTGTAATGTGCAATGTCAGCTGCACATGCATCTGGGACTCATTTATTTATTTGAAGACAATTTTTGGCCTCTTTTAAGGATGGAAGGCTCTCTAAGGATGGGGCTCACTCATCTCACCACAGAAGAGATGCACAAGTCAGTACTTTCTATATTACACTGAGAGCACTTGTCAATCGAGCATCCGGTCAACTCTTCTTTAACATCTGGAATGACCAGGTACCACTCCTTTCTGTCCTCTTTACCAGAGCAATCCAGTCTACATTTCTTGCTTGCTTGCCTGATGACAACTGAGCTCCACTTACAATGACAACAGCCAGCTGAACACCTGTCAGTGATTTGGAATGCCAGATGTCCTGCCTTTTAAGATTGCCCCCCATGTACTATTTAGCCTGTTATTTAAGGCCATCAATATTATATAGAACAGTATGCATATAATTTAATTTATGTATATAATTTTCTGCTCCAAAGAAAATAAGTTGTCCTTTATTTCAGACAGCATGCCACCCAGGTATCCTTTCCTATAAAAATTCTTCCCGAGACCCTAATATAAAATGATGCACACAGATAGCACACATTTTCTACTTTCAGGGACTACAGACTCACCCGTTTCAGGTCCTTGCAATGGCTCAGCATTCACTATCAGATTTGCTTTAGCTGCTGAAGGTAATTTGGGCAGGGGCATGCTCTCTGCAGAAGGAAAGCCAAAGTCATTGTCTGCAGAGTGAACAGGATCAAAAATAGAGGCAATATTTTTTCTATTAAAAAAATCAAATCCCAAGCACTATTACACATATAATGTACATTCCTTAAACTGTAACTTTTACACACACACACACACACACACACACACAGAGAGAGAGAGAGAGAGAGAGAGAGAGAGAGAGAGAGAGAGAGGGGCTTTCATATTGAATTAACCACTAGAAATCTAGAACTTTTTTTTTTAAAAAGAGGCAAGCTAAAGCCCCATATACAAACTATGGAATAAACTTTGTAAACAAAATTAAGTGGGGCATCTTTTGACATGAGGACAATATGAAAAGAAGAGCAACACACATGCCTGGTTTGGCTTATAGAATGGCAAATATATTTTTCAAATAAGAATTGTTTTTCACTGGGAAATATTTTCAATCTAGCCCTCTAGGAGGCAATTCATTCTTGGAAGTGCTAAAAATACAGCATATTTCACTCCCCTGAGGAAAACCGAAGCCCTCAAAAAGAAAAGTTTCATAAGGATTGAACAAGAAATTTACCTTCTGCAATGGTGATTCCTATGTTATCAGAGTGGCATGACCAAATTCTACAATACTCCACTACCATCAAATTTCAGAAACAAAGTTACTCCTCACTATACTGGAGTAACAAGGAGTGACTCTGAGAACAGCTACCTAACCCACATGGCTCTTCCTACAAAGTGACATGGGACCCAGACACATCTGATGTCCGGGCAAGTACCATGTGCTTATTTTTCTCATGTTTTAAAAATGGAAGCAGGGAGTATTCTGAGAGAAAGAGTAACTTGCTTGAGGCTACTCAAAGCAGGGCTGGGTAGAAAGCAGATTTCCAAACACACTCAATGTACTCCAAAACTCCCAGCTTTCTGCACTATTGGCCATGCTGGCAGGACCTACTGGGAACTGTAGATCAAAATGTCTGGATATGTACCTCCTGTGCACCCCTGATCCAAAGGATTCAAAGCATAGGTGATCAGATCAGAGACTTCCTGACTCATAGTTCTGTCTCTTAGTTCTTAGGTAACTGCAGTGCAGTGACAGAGTGCAGAAGGCTGGGAATCTCAGATCCACATTGATCTAATTTTATTGCAATGCTATTCTTTAAAATTAGCTTTTTGAATTTTACTGCCAGCTTCCAATGAATCTACCACTTTAGAATATTGTACTACAGTATGAACCACTGTTTCAACATGTATCCCATTTTTATCCCATTGACTGGGCATGATTCATCATTACTAAGAAAACATTATTTTTCGGAAGAATTAGAAGGTATTATGGAAGGATTTGCATTGAAGGGAGATGGAAGAATAACTTTTTATTTGATGATTCATAGATCTTAGTTTAGGATTGATTATATATTTGTATAAAAGGATCTTTTTTCTCGAGTATATGACTCAGATGCAGGGCTAATTAAAATTACAGGTCATACATTAATAAATATGGACTTTAAAATTAAAAGTGATTATGAAGAGACTAATAGATTGGAGATGGATTTAAATATCTTACAAAATAACCATATAATAGAAAAAATAGAGAAAAGACTGAAAGAAATATGGGAGATTAATGATAAAGAGGAAAGTGAACGAAACTTAGCATGGTACACAGTGAAGGCTGTTGCAAGGAGAATGAATATTAGGGAATCTCATAGTTTTAAAAGACAAAGGGTTAAATACATGGAAAATTTAGAGGGTGAAATTAAGGATTTGGAGAAGTATATAAATGAGAGCGATAGTAAAATTATGGTGGAAGTACAAGTTAAAAGGAAAGGGTTGAAGATTAGGGTAATAGAAAGAACACAGAGAAATTTAATATATTTAAAAAGGGAATCTTTTGAATTTAGCAACAAGAATTCAAAAATGCTGGCTAGAGCAATGCAACAAAAAGAATTAAAAATTCCCTTAATGGGAATAGTTAAAGATGAAAAGGGTAAAAATTGCAATTTAACAAAAGAAAAATAGAGCTGCCAGGTTGCTGACGGGGACGGGGCGTTATGCTCACATGACTCCAGTCCTCCGTCAGCTTCACTGGCTTCCCATTGAAGCCCGGGCCCAATTCAAGGTGTTGATTATGACCTATAAAGCCCTAAACGGCTTGGGTCCTGGCTACCTGAACAAGCGCTTACGTCCGTATATGCCCAACCACCCTTTGAGATCTGCGGGAGAGTCCCTTCTCCGGGAACCCTCCATGAAAGAAATTAGGAAAGTAAGTACTCGGAGGAGGGCTTTCTCTGCGGTGGCACCCAACCTATGGAATTCACTCCCCAAAGAGGTCCGCCTGGCACCGTCGTTACTGGTTTTTCGGCGCCAGGTAAAGACCTTTTTATTTAAACATCATTTTAATTGTTAAAACATATGATCTGGCCAGGGCAACTTCTTCTTCCTTCTCTTTCTCCTCCTATATTTTTATTTACTTAATTTATACTGATAATTTTAATCTTATATTTGTAAATCAATATATTTTTTGTATTTTGTAATTAATGGTAATTTATTATGTGCTATTGTATTTCATTGTATTTTATCGTGTTGTAAGCCACCCCGAGGTTTCGGCAAGGGGCGGCATAGAAATGTTATAATAATAATAATAATAATAATAATAATAATAATAATAATAATAATAAAAGTTATTTTATAGATTTTATTCAAAGTTATATGAAACTGGGAAGTTGCCAATAGATCAAATTAGATCATATATAGAAAAGAATGTTGGGAAGAAATTGCAGAAGAAAGATAGAGAGCTAATAAAACAGGTCATCATGGGATGGAAGAGGTTATTAATAATTTTAACGCAGAGAAAACTCCAGGTATGGATGGATTAGGATCAGAATTTTAGAAGGTATTTAGAAAGTTTCTGGTACTAAGATTAAACTATCTTTTTAATAGCATTTTGGAAGGTGGGAAGATCCCAGGATCTTGGAAATATTTTTCAATAGTTTTGATACCGAAATCTAGCAAGGATTTGAGAGATCCTGGAGTGTATTGACCTGCATCTTTGATAAATCAAGATGCAAACATTTTTACAGTGATATTTGCAAAAAGATTAAATAATTTTATTGATACATACATTAAGATGGATCAGGTAGGGAGAAGGATGTTGGATGTGACTGGAAGAGTATTACACATAATATAATTTATATTACGTGAAAGGTTAGAAGAGGGTGTAAAATCATTAGATTTTTTTTAAAGCTTTTGATTGTGTGGAATGGCTAGCAATAATAGAGACATTAGGATTTGGGTCATGATTTAAATGGGTAATAAATCGATTGTATTCAGAAAACCTCAGAACTGTGGCAGTTAATGATAGCATAACAGAAGAAATATTCTTAGGCTGAGGCACTAGAAAGGGATGCCCTCTTTCATCAACATTGTTTGCTTCAGTTATAGAATTCTTAGCAAATAGTATAAGAAATGATGATACTATAAAAGGTTTTGGCATTTAAAATAAAATTACATTTGAGATTCGCTGATGATACATTATTAATAATAAGCAAAGACCGCTTTAAAGTTATGGATAAGATTAAAAATCATTTGGTGGAATATGGTGAGATAACAGGTTTAGAAGCTAATTGGAATAAATACAAGATGATGGTGTTTGATTGCACCGGAGAAGAAAAGGAGGAATTAAGAATAAATTTCAAATCAAAATATGTAATATTATTAAATATTTAGGTATTAATATTTTTTAAAAAAATACTCAATGTTTGAACAAGAATAATTTTGATATATTAAATCTGAAATAAAGAATAAATAGCAGCAATTTAGGAAACTAGGATTATCTTGGTTTGGTAGGATACCAGTTTGAAAAATGAGAATTTTACCTAAGATTATTTTTTTATTTGGGATGTTCACGATTAGGATATTAGGGGAAATATGGCAAAAATAATTAATAAATTTTGTAAGAATTAGTAAGAAAAGATGGTATAAACCACAAAAAGAGGGAGGATTAGGTATTCCAAATAATAAATTATATTATGAAGCAAATCAGTTAAGAGTTATACCAAATATCATATTGCAGCCTGATAAGATAATATGGGCAGAGACAGAACAACAGCAAATTGAGGGACCCTTTTAAGTATATTTCTTAAGCAGGATGATAAGAAGAATGTTAAAAAGATAGAAAACCCATTTTTAAAAAACATGATGTGAGTTTGGGAGAAGTATGGGGAAGAGCTTATGCTGACAATCTCCCAATAATTCCAGTCACAGAAATTAATGGAATTTCCAAATTTCAGATGATTGCAATGAGTAGGGAAACTCAGGTGGTATTTAAGCAAGGGGGATTTCAAGTGGGATATATAAGATTTAGGGAGGATGTAGATGATCTTTTTAAAATCTCATGGGAAATGGATTTAGGGTTAGGATATAGTTTGAGCTGTTGCAAAATTTAGACTTATTGAAGAAAGTAGAAAAATTCTTCTAAATTGAAGAAAGTAGAGAAAAGCACTAGACCACTCGGGTATGACCAAAATCATATCCCTGATGAATATACAGTAGAGGTGACAAATAGATTTAAGGAATTAGATCTGATAGACAGAGTGCCTGAAGAACTGTGGACAGAGGTTCGCAACATTGTACAAAAGGTAGCAACTAAGACCATCCCAAAGAAAAAGAACTGCAAGGCAGCAAAATGGCTGTCTGAGGAAGCTTTACAAATAGCTGAGGAAAGAAGGGAAGTGAAAGACAAGGGTGAAAGGGAAAGATACATCCAGTTGAATGCAGAATTCCAGAGAATAGCTAGAGGAGATAAGAATGCCTTCTTAAATGAACAGTGCAAAGAAATAGAAGAAAACAATAGAATAGGAAGGACCAGAGATCTCCTCAAGAAAATTGGAGATACAAAGGGAACGTTTCAGGCAAAGAAGGGCATGATAAAGGACCAAAATGGCAGGGACCTAACAGAGGCAGAAGAGAAGAAGAGGTGGCAAGATTACACAGAAGAACTATACAAGAAAGAGCTTAATGTCCCTGATAACCACAATGGGGTGGTCACTGACCTCGAGCCAGACATCCTGGAGTGTGAAGTCAAATGGGCATTAGGAAGTCTGAGCAACAACAAAGCTAGTGGAGGAGACAGTATTCCAGCTGAGCTATTCAAAATCTTAAAAGACGATGCAGTAAAAGTGCTATACTCAATATGTCAGCTAATTTGGAAAACTCATCAGTGGCCACAGGATTGGAAAAGGTCAGTTTACATTCCAATTCCAAAGAAAGGCAACGCCAAAGAATGTTCAAACTACTGCACCATTACACTCATTTCACATGCTAGCAAAGTTATGCTCAAAATCCTACAAGCTACAAGGAAAGCTATGGCAAATCTAGACAGCATACTAAAAAGCAGAGACATCACCCTGCCAACAAAAGCGCGTATAGTCAAAGCTATGGCTTTCTCAGTTGCAATGTATGGCTGTGAAAGTTGGACGATAAAGGAAAGCTGAGCACCAAAGAATTGAGGCCTTTGAATTGTGGTGCTGGAGGAGACTCCTGCGAGTTCCTTGGACTGCAAGGAGATCAAACCGGTCAGTCTTAGAGGAGATCAACCCTGAGTGTTCTTTAGAAGGCCAGATACTGAAGATGAAACTCAAATACTTTGGCCACCTAATGAAAAGGAAGAACTCACTGGAGAAGACCCTAATGCTGGGAACGATTGATGGCAAAAGAAGAAGGGGACAGCAGAGGATGAGGTAGCTAGATGGAGTCCCTGAAGCAGTCAATGTGAGCTTAAGTGGACTCCGGGGGATGGTGGAGGACAGGAATGCCTGGAGGAATGTTGTCCATGGGGTTGTGATGGGTCAGACTCGACTTTGCAACTAACAACAACAACAACATATTTTGAGTACATTAATATGGGTGGGTTTTTCTGTGGAGCAGGTGCAAACAAATTTGTGTTGCAATCTTTTGCCCACGTATAAACACTGTTTCATTTGTTGGGCCCTTAGCCTGAATGGAATTATTTTTACTGCCTGACTCTTTATTATTGGTTTGTATTGCTGCATCTCACTGCCTCTTGTTTCTAATTTTGTGATGATATTCAGTTTAAACATTTGAAATGCTTTTAATCTGTAGGGACCCACTCCTATGGCCTCCCAACATTGTCTGTGGATCTGTAGGATTTTTCAGAACCCCAGCACCAAGGTCTTGCAGCCCTGTTGCTAGGACTCCAGAGGCCAAGCTCTCACTCCCCATGGAACTGGAATTAACACAAAGAACAATATAGATGAAATGGGCAGAAAAATATCTAGCTTGCAGTTAATAAATGCAATTGACTTTAGTTGCAAGTGGGATATCATTCACTCAGTGCAATTACGCTCAGGGCAATTAAAGATTAGCTCAGACCTTATCACAAGGAAGAGAAATCCTTCTTCAGTGTCAAACTGATGCATCACATTTTGATCATATTATTTTTCCTATCTAACTCATCATCCAGATCAATTTTCTAGGGGCACGGCATATACATGGAAAGTCTAAGTTGCAGTTGGCATATAGAGGATGAACATGCATACAAACCACATTAACCTAAGGACAAACTATGCAGTTCATGGATGAATGTAACAAAGCACTAGTGTTTTCTTTCACTTTCCACTCATGGCTGCAACCATGACCAAAAAGACTGAAGAAGGATGGGATGTTTACTTTGACCACTATATTAGTTGTTCTGCTTACAGTATTCATTTACCAGGTATTTTCCCACTGGAGAAAAGTTATGTAGCCCTTCTTCCTATAGCCTCTCCAGCAGCTACTTTTCCTTATTATATTTTAAAGGTAAACCTCAGGGCTTCTTTTTGTCCACTTATGTGTGACGTGATAGCCACCCTTTATCAAAGCAATCATGTGGACTTGGATCTGAACATTTTGCTTTACTTTACATCCTTAGTACATTTTACTGCTGTTGACAATCAAGACCAATCTTGATAAAGGGGAAACATTGTACATACCTTCTGGCTTTCTTGTTGTAGAAGGCAAGGCAGTAACATTATTTGGAACATTTCTAATGGAAGAAACAAAGAATAGTAATGGATACATAACTATATAATGGTCCTTCTGATTCATCCGTAAGCATATCTAAGATATCAAGATTAGCCTCTCTCTCAGCTGAGCCATCAGAGCTCGGCAAACTGTAGACGAGGAATTCACCTCTTGGACGAGGAAACATGCTGCATGTCGCTGTTATGGGTCATACCACCTCACAGTCTTACAGACGCACTGGGAAGAGAACTAAATTGTGCCAAATGTATATTTGTTGTTTGTTTAGTAATCTCACCAAGACAGTCTATTTATTTCATCTGAGAATGGAGAAGCCCATTAGACTTACATTTGTTTCTGACCAAATTTTTGGACTGGCTGATCAGCCTGGAGCCAGTCACATTGTTTCTTGACCTCTGGAGACAGGTAAAAGGCATTTTCACCTAAAATAATAGTAATAATATTAATAATAACAACAACAACTACTACTATTACTACAATGATGACAACAGCAGCACAGAACAAATAATATATAATAGAACTAAACCATTCCTTCTTCTCCAAAGATAGCACAACAATTACAAGCATAATAAAATTGTTTATTAAGTATGATTATTTAAGCATTTTAATACCACATTTTATTATGAGCACAGTACTGGGACTCAGGCAATCTGGGTTCTAGTCCCTGCTGACCATGGAGCCAACTGGGTGACTTTGGACTAGTCTCAGCCTAACATACTTCATGTTGTTGTTGTGGAGATAAGATTGAAAGCAGCAGGAAGATGTAAGCTGCTTTGAGTTCTGAGCAAAAACTGACGCATTTGGGGATTCTGCAGTGCTCTTGGGGGGCTTGATGAAGGTTCAGTATATTTGCCACCAACTGCTAAAAGTGCCTGTTAAGAGTGCCTCCACTTATCCTCTCATTATATGTTTGTCCAATGCAAAATCATTAATACAAAGAAGCCCTACATCTTCAGCGTTCCCTTGATGAAACTAAGCCCTCTTCAGTGCTCTGGTAACAATGTAACATTGTCTCAAAGGAATTGTGTATAACATGATTTGATTAGAGAACCCAAGATTTGTTCCTGCTTGTGATCCAGATGTAAAATGAGTATATGTTGCTAGTCAATCCAGATTTATCTCCCTCCCATCACATGCACTCCTTGCTCAGTGTAGCATTTCATGTTTAACACCAGCCCGCACCAAACTTTCCATTGCCGTGCCACATAAAATACTTACTGCTGATAAAGGCTGGCAAGAGGTTTCCAAAGCGTAACAACGGCTCTTCGTTAAACTCGGATGGCTTGTCAATGTATTTGAAGAAGACATCATTAGGCTCACTTGCCAAACTGTAGATATTCTTGATGTTAAGTTTCTTACCAATGCCTACTATGACAAAAAAGTATCCTTTGCATTTAGCTTCTGCAATAACTTTCTGAAGGTGTTCCAGTTCTCCATTTTTAACTTCTCCTGTCATCATCAAGACAAAGACTTTGAGATCTCTGGGATTAGGTGCACTCTCAAAAATGTGTCTTGTTGTATATTCTATTGCACTTGCCACAGCTCGTGTCCCATACAGCTGCACCATTTGATTACTAATGAAATCCATCAGCTGTTCTTTAGATGCATAGTCTGTCAATGACAATTCAACTTTGACGGGAGATGCACTTGAGTTTGATTCAAATTCATAAGGAGCATGTTGGATGACAGCTACCCTGGCATGGTGCCGGGATGCCTTGGGATCGGAGCTCAGAGCCATCTGGCTTACTAGGTATGAAATGTAGTTCTTCATCTCTCTGAACTGCAGTGGAGTAGTGCTATCAGAGCTATCCAGGAGGAATGCTACATCAATGTCAACATCTGTAGGGGCTGCCCGTCTGTCTCTACCAAAGCCAGCCCTTTGGGGACCACAGCTGGGATCAGGATCACACACGTCTAGAAGAATAAATATTCAACACATGAATACGTGTAATAATGATCATGCGAAAAATAAATTTAGGAATCTGTATTGACAAATTGCAGCAAGAATGACAGTACTTCATGGCAACCTAACAGTTAAGAAACATAAAACTATAGTTGGCTCTCAACTTTTGCAGGGATTAGTAGTGTAGGGCACCTGCAAAATAAGCCCTCCCCAACCTTAACTCTTAATACAGTTGGCCACACGTGCCCCGGATTGCCTCTCCACTTCTATCTCAGACCTCCGTCTGATCCAGCAGGGCTCCCCTTCTTCCTTTATTACATTTTTTATATCCCCTATTCCCTGCCCTCCCTTTCACTCAAGGAATTGCCAGAGGGATTTCCTTCCATGGATGGGCCGGGTAAGAAGACATGTTTTGGAGGCCCTCCCTCTCTCTCCTTTCGCTTTCTCTTTCTTCATGGTGATGACAATTTTCCACAGTAGGCTGCAAAACTCAAAAACAAACAAACAAACAAACAAACCAAGAACCACCCCCATTCAATTATTGACAGCAAACTTGCGAATAATTAAATCCACAAAAGTTAAACCCACAAAAGTCAAGGTTCAGCTGTGATTTCATGTGGCCACATGGTTTTAAAATTCCCTGAACACTATAGTCTGAGCTAAACGATGATATGTTGTAACTGGTTGTACTGTTATACTGACTGATTCAGGCCAATTGTATGATCTGAATTTTCACACGCATTTGTCAGCCACAGCAGGAGCTCCTTCGGGGACTCAGCATTGCAGGAAAGAAAAGTGAGAAGAAAAGAATGTCATTTGAATGGAATTGTTCTAAGCAGAAAACCACTGAGTGTCCTTTTATATGGCCCAGGAACCTCAAAACAACTTTGTAAAATAAGGAGTTATGCATAATGGGTAAAAGCACACACCAACACCATTCTTTCAGTGAGAAGAAACAATAAAATCTCCAGGCATGGTTTACAAGTACGTACATTACATAGGAATCATTTCAATACCTTACCTAAACAAATATGGCATGTTAATGCTCTCCTAAGAGCTTGGGCCTGTTGATTTGCACCACCAGCAAATACAATAGCCTGTCCACCTATAGTGTTGTTGATCTGGTTTGAGACAAAAACAAATATATTAGTACTCAAAGGAGGCAGCATGAATAGGAAAGGCCAGTGTCTTCAGACTAAATTGCATTTGGAATTGTTGAAACAGGAGATGGATAAGAGCTCAAAAACAGATGGTCAGTCCCTTTGATGCCAGCACAATTGTGTTTTGTCTGTCTTTGCCGGAGCGGGGCCATGTCTCACCTACCATTAAACTGCAGTGTTGGACAATAGTCCTCATTTGAATGAAGTAAATCTACAGAGTCTATTGGAATATGTCAGGAGAAGTGTCAGTTTTTTTCACCTTCACCTGAAATGCCAGGTATGTTGTCTCCCTGGAGGATGAATTAGAAATGTGACTGAAGGGTTTCTGACATGTATCGCTTCCTGCTCTTCCATGTGGGAAGATATAATACTGCCAAATGGGGTTCTGGAGAAATCACATCAGACTTTGAAGCTCTGGGAAGGAAACTTGAGAATTTGGGGGCCAAGATAATTTTCTCATTCATCTGTCCAGTACTTTGATGATTAATAGAAAGGGAAAGAAAAATACTCTGGCAGAATACCTGGGTATGAATGCAGTACTGATGCAAGATATTTGTACTTTGGAACCATGGGCTGCACCCCCTAGAAGATGGACTGCTGGCAAGGAATGGCTTGCACCCCACAAGGTCTGGGAAGAATGTGTTTGGCCACAAACTGAAGAAATTCAACAGGAGGGCTTTAAACTGATTCCCACATGGGAGGGAAAACTAATCTTAGGGATTATAATGGAGAACCCTTATGCAGGGAGCAGATCTAATAGTGCCCAATGATAGCCTTCCAAAAATATAAGAAGAAAGCAGGACTATAAAGTCTGTATAGATTCAGTGGTTTTCAGTGTCTCTATATGAATGCCCAGAGTATTGGAAACAAATAGTATTAATTTGACCTGTTAATATTGGAGGGCAAATATGACTTGATGGGTGTAACTGAAACTTGGTGGGTTGACTCCCATGACTAAAATTCAATAGTTGAAGCATCTAAGTTCTTCGTGAAGAATGGAAGGAACAGAAACAGTGACAGAGTCTCTGCTCCGAAATACAGGAGGATGAGCTTAGTAGCCTCATCAGGAGCATCTGAATTAAAATAAATGGAACAAAAAGTAAAAGAAGCATGATAGAGTCTACTAGCGACCACCCAGTCAAAGAGGAGACAACAGCTGCAGAAGCCAGTTGCTGAGTTTGGGCAGGCAGAACTCTTGCACTGTGAGGGATCTTGTGGGCAGCTAGTTTGCCACTATGTGGCTTGAGTGCTGGACCTGATAAACCATTGGTCTGATCCAGCATGACTCATGTTCTTCTGTGGATGGAACTTTTAAAAAGCAAATTGCCAATGTTTCCAAGGAGGCATGCAGTAATAGTAATAAGGAACTTCAATTTTCCCCATATTTGTTAGGAGACAAATATTGCCAAATATGGCCTCTCCAAGAAATTCCTGACTCGTGTTTCTGATAACATCCGTCCAGAGAAAATGAAGGAAGGAACTAAAGGATCAGCTATCCTTGACTGGATTCCAACCAATAAGTAAGATGAGCTGAAGCCGATGAAGCAGGCTGGGAGATGGCTGGAGTGAAGGTGGAGAAAAACTCATGCTGAATCTGACCGAACACTCCTTAGAGCTCATTATCAAGCCTAAGCTGTGGTGGTGAGGGCACCGAAGAAGAATCTCTTCTCGGCTTCCATTGCATCCTCAGTGTCGTCCAGCAGAGCTTTTCCAGGTGGTGCAGGGCCTGTTACATTCTAGGCCCAACACAGATCGTCTTGAACCCTTGCTGGCCTGCTGTGATGAATGTGCGCAGCACTTTTGGGATAAAATCTCAGATTCAGCATGAATTGGACTCTGCAGTTAGTATTGTTCCTGTAGTGGAGATGTCCAGGGCACTGTCTAGTCCACCTTTGTTGGATAGGTCTCAATTATTGTCATCTGAAGAAGTGGATAAGGTGCTTGGACAAGTCCAACCCACCAACTGTTTCCTTGACTCATGCCCTTTATGGCTGATCACCAAAGCCAAGGACAGGATACATACCTGGGTCTAGGAAGTTGTAAAAACCTGAGGGAGGGGCCGGTTCCTGCTCTCTTGAAGGAGGCAGTTAGTAGGCCTCTCCTAAAAAAAAGGCAAACTTAGAGGTTGCCACCAATTATAGACTGGTAGCTATATCTTGTTCTTGGGCAAGGTGCCTGAGCAGGTGGTGGCCAGAAAACTCCAGGTACTCTCGGAGGAAACTGACTCTCTGGATCCATTTCAGTCCAGTTTCCGGCCTGGTTTTGGGAATGAAACTGCCTTGGTTGATGTACAATGACCTGTGTTGGGAGAGGGACAGGGGGAGTGCATCCCTCTTTTCTCTTCTGAACCTCTCAACATCTTTCAATACCTTTCACCATGGTATCCTTCCAGAGAGGTTGGCCAAGTTGGGGGCTGGAGGCACTGCTTTGCAGTGGTTCTACTCCTACTTGGCCAGCCGATTCCAGAAGGTGGTGCTGGGGGATTCTGGCTCTGTGCCATGGCAATTATCCCATGGAGTTCCACAGGGTTCCATTCTATCCTCCTGCTCTTCAACATCTACATGAAAAAGCTGGGAGAGTTCATCCAGAGGTTAGGGTTGAGGTGTCACCACTATGCTGATGACACTCAGCTCTACCTGTCCTTTACATCTAATCCAGGTAAGGTGATTTTGAATCAGTATCTAGCCAGTGTGATGGGCTGGATGAGGGACAACAATTTCCGACTTAATCCAGAGAAGATGGAGGTTCTGTTGGTAGGTGGGCCCCAGTAAGTGATATCTGCCCTATTCTGGATGAGGCAGCACTCTCCCTAAGGGATGCGGTGCATTGTTTGGGAGTGCTCCTCTACCCAGAGTTATCTCTGGAGTACCAGGTGAGTGCTGTGGCAAGGAGCACTTTCTACCAGCTTTGGCTGATCCATTAACTACCTGGCTGCCCTTGAAGACTGGTCCTGTACCATCTGTGCTGGCTACTAATTGAAGTCCAGGCCCAATATAAGGTGTTAACTTTGATGTACAAAGCCCTAAATGTTTTGGGGCCTGGACATCTGAAAGAGCATCCTTATGATCTTCCACTGATGTCCTTCTTTGAAGGAGGTTAGAAGAGTGGTTACCCAGAGAAAGGCCTTTTCTATGATAGTGCCCCGGCTTTGGAACCTGCTCCCCAGAGAGGTAATTCTGGCACCGATGCTTTATTCATTTCCTTTACCTGGTATTTTAAGGTTTGATGGCATTTTTAAAATAGGAATTTTATGATAAAGTTTTTACATGCTATTTTAATTGTTCTGCTTTGTTGTGGGTTGTCTTCAGACCTGTTGGCATAGACAGGATCAAAGCATTATGAATGAATGAATGAATGAATGAAGAAATAAATGAATAAATCCCATGTTGAGTGACTCTAATGGGAAAGGGAATCCAAAATGGATGAGATTGATTTTTAAAGGGCATGTTAAACATGCAATTACAAACAATTCAAACAAGAAAAAAGACAGAAGAAAACAGAAGAGGCAAATAGGCTTCACAAAAAGCTTGGAAAAGACTCCGAATGCATAGAGGAAGTGGAAGGAAGCCCAGGCTACAAAGGAACAGTGCAGGCAGTTAGCAGGGATGGTGTCAGGAAGGCTAAAGCTGAGAATGAAGTGAGGTCAGCAATGGATGCTAAAAGAAACAAAAATGCCTTTTTCAGATGTGTGCTGAAGACAGAAGAAAGAAACAGTGTTTCTTAGTGAAACAGAAATAGCGCTATTTAGTGAAGAAGGCAAAATGATAACAGATGACAAAGAAGAGGCAGAATTGTTCAATTCCTACCTTGGCTCAGTCTCCTAAAGGAAAGTCTATGACAAAGATGAAGTACAAGCTGAAGGGGCAAGATCGCAGCTTGATTCAAATGGTCAAAGAACTTAGCATGCAGTCAAATCCCCAGGGTCCAATGAATTACATCCTGGGGTAATGAAGAAACTAGCAGGAGAACTCACAGAAGCACTGTTATCTCTGAAAAATCATGGAGGATGAGCAAAGTGCCAGGTGACTGGAGAGGGGTTTATTTCAGAAAGGGAAACAAAGAGAATCCTGGGAAGTACAGACCAGTCAGTCTGACATCAGTTGCTGGGAAACTCTGGGTTTGATTATAAAGCAGTCAGTCTGCAAACTCCTTGAAAACAATGCAATCATAACTAGTAGTCAAGAACAAATCCTGCCAGACTTGGCTGGTATCATTTTTTGTTGGTGTAGCCTCCATGATTGACTGTGGAAACACTGTGCACATACTATATCTAGAGATCAGCAAAGCTTTTGACTCAGTGTCCCATAATATTCCAATTAGACAACTAGCTAAAAGTAGGCTAGATGAAAGAACTGTCAAGTGGATCCACAGTTGGCTATAGAATCGGACTCAAAGAGTGTTCGTCAGTGGCACCTTTTCAGACAAAGGAGAGGTAATACGTGGGGTACTGCAGGGCTCAGTCTTGGGCCCAGTGCTCTACAACACTTTTATCAATAATAAAGAAGTGCAGGACACACTTATTAAATTTGGAGATGACAAGCTTCCTCACTGCCAGAGCAATATGACAATGGAACCAGCTGCCTAGAGAGGTGGTGGGCTCTCCCACACTGGAGACATTCAGAAAGAAACTGGACAGCCATCTGAGTGGGATGGTCTAATGTGGTGTCCTGCAACAGCAGGGGGTTGGACTCGATGGCCTTCATGGCCCCTTCCAACTCTATGCTTCTATAAATTTCATTCAGCTCTTTTCAGCCCAGTATTCCAATTGATCAAGATCACGTTGAATTTTATTTCTGTCTTCCAGGGTATTAGCTATCCCACCCAGTATGGCATCATCTGTTAATTCAAGACTCATTCCCTGCACTTCCTCATCCAAGTGATTAATAAAATGGTGAAGAGCACTGGCGCCCAGGACTAAATGCTGTGGTGCCACACTTGTTACCTCTCCCCAGTCTGAGAAG